AGACCCCCACCCAGATCCTGAGAACGTGTGTTGGACCCCGCCCGAGTACAGATTAGACTCGAGGTCCGGGGCCCCAACACCACCCCCTGTCTGGGGGATTTCCGGGTTTGCCGAACCCGCGAGCCGGCACCACGACCAGCCAGGGCAGCCCCGGCCTCCGGCTCAGCAGGACCGGAGCTGAGCAGAGAAGCGGCACGGCCCCACCGCATGGGAGGTAGTACCAAGTCATGCTGGCGCTCCCCAGCGGGAGGGGGTGGTTGCACCCTTAATACCCATCACACTGCACAATACAATCTGAACAGGACAAAACATAACTCATTCAAAACCAAATTCCTCAAACCATATGGCCTACAAAGTGTGAATTGCCTCTGACAGAAAAAATGGCAAACCGAATTTGGAAGAGGTCATTGCTGGACTGTTTTAAGACATGGCTATGGAATACAATTTCCAAGATTTCTGAGATGGGAAGTGATATACTATGTATAAGAACAAGTCTCCACTGTGAAAAGCTTAGTAGAAGTGTTTCCTATCATTCATTCGTACACATTGTCTAATGATCACCATTCCTGCCTGACCTTTGGTGTCAATAATTGCATGAAAAAAGGCACATTCAACACCCTAAAAAGAAGTCAGTGGGTTTTATAAGTGTGATTTAAACACAATGGGGCCTACCTGACTAATCACAGGCTATGGAACTACACACAAAATGTGGGAGGGAGGAGCCACTAGTAACAACTCTGGGAAATTTTGCCAACTGGATAACTATACCGAGAAGGTCAGTCCACCTGTTGGCACACACACTGAGAATGATCATTTATTATTATTTAAGGGTCAGCCCATTAAGACTATTTAAATACACTGAACTCTTTAATACAAGAATGAGCATCTGTGCATACTGAAATAGTTAACCCTTTCCAATGCATGCCACAGCATTCAGCCCTGAATTAATTCACACACTGTTGCACTGATTGAAGACTTTCTGATGTTGTTCTGATAGACCCAGCTGTATTCAGTGGGAAATCCTAAAAGGCTACTTACGGCATATATCAGGAGTTCTCCAGTGGACACAAGCTTCATGCTTTACGCACTCTTGGGCATAAGCAGCAACTGCAGAACAGAAGCACTCGCAGTCTCCCCCGGTGTCGCAGGAACAGGCATCATTAACACAATTGTCATAGAATGGTTGTGGGTCCACCTGTTGGGGAAGCACACAGGGCAGTTGTTAACACCAGAGCTCTGCTTCCAATTTGGACTCTCCGATGGAAATCTATTAGATCAGAAGTTGCTCTCTGTCTCTCAGGAAACAGATGTGGACTAGGCTAAGCTTTCAGTACTTTATCTCATTTTCTTCAAATGGGTGACACTGTGCATTGGCGATATCTTATGTTGTGCATCATTTTGGTTTAATGACAAAAAATTATTCCCAACACAGGACCACAATAACAATGTCCAAGCAAAATTATATTCTATTCTGCTGTCTATATCGTCAACAAAATTGACACCTGAGCTCTGAATCCAGAAGCTTTATCAACAAATCTGATGCATAAAAGTAAAAACAAATACTTAATTGAATTTACAAAGCTGGTGATTAGAAAAATATGGTTTGATGTGTAAACAGAATTGTCTGAACTTGGAAGCTGATGATGGAGAAAAAAAATTAGACAATTATATGTTAATTTTTGGAAGGGAGGCTTAACACAACTGTTTCCAGAATAAATGTATTTGCTATTAGTATGCTATACTTCAGTTTTAAACAAATCCCTGTGTAACCTATACACATTCAGGCTGCATCTAGACTGGCAAGATTTTGCGCAAAAGCACCTGCTTCTGCGCAAAATCTTGCCACCTGTCTACACTGGCCGCGAGTATTTGCACAAGAACACTGACGTTGTACTGTACAAAATCAGTGCGTCTTACGCAAATACCCTGATGCTCCCGCTCAGGGATAATCCCTCTTGCGCAAGTATTCTTGCTCAAGAGGGCCAGTGTAGACAACAATGTTAATTTCTTGCTTAAGAAAGCCTGATGACTAAAATGGCCATCGGAGCTTTCTTGTGCAAGAGAGTGTCTACACTGGCACGGATGCTTTTGCGCAAAAGCACATCTTTTGCACAAAAGCACGTGCCAGTGTAGGCGCTCTCTTGCACAAATACTTTTAACAAAAAACTTTTCCGTTAAAAGTATTTGCGCAAAATCATGCCAGTCTAGATGCAGCCTCAAACTGTGGTGCACTGTACCACTTACAGAGAGAAAGAATGAGTTTGGCAATCTCTCTACTAACCTTGTTGTGACAAACTTTAAAGACTTCTCTCCGAATTATGCTGCATTCCTTCTCTGCCCAGGACTTGCGGTGGGGTTTCAGATTGCAGGGCACAATCTCATTCTCCACATCAGGGCAGTTACTGGCTGATCTCCAGGAATTCCCAAACTCCAGAGGACTGGTCACCTGCAGCCCATCCCGTGTTGTGAAGTCATTGTTGGAATTTTCGTCAAAGTTGCCACACAAACCACAGATTTTGCCCTGAGAAAAACAAAAGGTGTTTGCTTTCAGAACATCATCACATTTTCAGTTTGCCCACTAAGAGAGCACCAGTACAATTAGAATCAAACCAAATACATGCAGTGAGGGAATGATTTCTCCCTATAACTTACTTATTTTCATCCTTATTTCAAAATAATGTGTATAAGTGAAACCTATTTCTCTGTATTTATCTTCTTCAGTATCAAGCTGTCAGGTAGCCCATACAGGAATATGTGACTTCTTGTTATATACAGTATCTAGTAACTATATCTATATTTCTTTGCAGCTTCTTCCCATTCAACTTAAAATGAACCAAACAGTGGCTACACTTCTCTCCCCTGACAACAAGTCATCCCTTTACAGTGCATTGTGGTATGCAGCAATGTAGCTGCATGATTCCCATTAGCGTTAATAAGAGTCACGATTGAATTCTCCAGCACACAATGCACTGACATTTTAGTCCTACGTTTATTTTTCAGCTAGATGTTAATTTTGAAGAGTTGACTGACCATCTTTAAGGCAGATTTCTTCAAATACAAAGAATGAGATGGAATAAGGAAGAAATAAAGCATCCTTGAATAAATCTTAAAAACAGAACAGTGACTTCAGGGTTGGGGGGGGTTGGGGGCTGGCATTCTTCTAGTCTAGGATCTAGTTGCATTAAAAATGAAAAATCTTTTACCTCATTTTTGCTCCTCCCTTCATTTTTTAACCCTACTCAAGCTACTTCAAGGTTACCAGCAAAGTTTAAAGGCTGCCTGAGCCACTTACTAAACAAGTTAAATATCTTATAAGGGAAGATGTGAGAGCTGGAAGCATTTTGTCAAGAAATAATTTTTAGCTTCCTTCCATGCAGCCCCTTATACAGAGGCTGTGAGATGGTACCCCACTTAGCACTTCTTGAGCCACAACTCCATTTCCCCAAGGTAAAATATGTTGCATTATTATGGGAGGGCTGGGTTAGCCTATGGCAAATCTTGTGAATTTTCGTTCTGTCTTTTATTGGGGAATTACAATCTGTAACCATTTCTTTGGTTTCAAGGGTCATACATATATGAAATATTCACAAATACACTATAGTACAACATACAATGAATAAATAGTGATTTAAAAGTGAAATGCCTCCAAATACCAGTTAACCCCTACTGCTACTTGAGGGATCAACCTTAGTAATCTAAGACACAATATAGTTACAAACTGTCTGGAAAATAGGTTTTTAACTTAACAACAATAGAGCAAAGTTTTGTTCTATAATGGAAGAGAAAATGATGTTGGGTGTCCCAAGAGTTCATTCTCTTTGGGCCTGATCCTACAACCCCTAAAGACAACAAGAATATTTTATGAACTTCAGCAGGCTTTGCATTAGAGCACTAAGATTTACAAGTATTGGAAAATCACAGAGGACAGCTCTTCCACATTTCATAGTGTGTAATACATTCCTTGGTATTGTTGCACTGGATCATGCAATAAGAAGAACATACAATGGCACCATCTTCATGAATAATGAGAGACATTGATGAATCATCAGCATAAACAAGATATAGGGAAATGATGAAGAGTAATAATCAAGAATAATCTGTACATTTATATGTACTCGACTATTTATAATCCCATCAACAGATTCCATAATATTTTAGGGGGAAAAAAAGCCTGAAGTTGCTCACCTTGTAATTAGGGGTCAGCTTTACAAAAATAGTAGTCTTCTTATCCCAGATGAGCATCACACCACTGCTGGTTTCAATAACAAGATAAAGCCCCACTGTCCGAGTCCAATAATGTACATGTTCGCCAGCATCTCGATGAATTTCTACATAGCGCTTGTCCTCCAGCTTCAATTCAATTCCCTGAAGGACAGAAAGAGAAGGGATATAATAACATTAGCTTTAGAGTGAGGCAAGCTATTGGAATGGTGCTGCTGATGGACTTCATTACAAGGCTAACATTGCCAAACCACTACCTAAACCTTTAAGAAGTGGAAATCACTGTAATGGAACCATGCCAACGTTGAGTTTCAAGGAACATGGCTACAAACAAAGGTCAGTTTTCATTAGCTGCATTCTAGGGCTGATCCCATCCAGAACCACCACTCACCTTGAGAAATACTTTAATAGCCTTTGAGCAGGTGACTCCTGTGGTTCCACATGGAACATTAACTGTGATGATACTAAATGTGCCACTGGGGTCCTCACCACAATAATCCTGTTGAGAATGGAATAAAGAATCTTAAGTGAATGAAAGGAACTGTATTATTTATTTTGCTTTCGGTCTAAAATAATTTAAATTTCATCTTCAAATTCCAGTACTCACACACAACATTTAATGTTTACCAAATTCTGGGAAAGAAATGAGACGATTGAATTAAACAATAGCTCGTTTCCCAAACAATCTTCGTTTTCCAATTTCAGATTTAGCCAGTAGTTTTGGAGTAGCGTTGATGATCTGACAACTTTCATTGTCAAGTTAGCCAAGATGTATATTCAGGACATCCCCACTGTGACCCCAGTACATTGCTGTTCTGCACTAAAGTCACTGACGCTTCTAAGAACTGACGTGTTATTAGTCCTCCCAGTCTCCACTCTGAATTTGTGCAAATGGAAGTCAGCCTCAAGAAAAAAATTCCCTGCTTTAAGTTGTTTCACTATAAGTCCAAGTTTTTGACAACATATCTTGGACTTATATCAAGGATGGCCTGTAATCTGCACATACATCAGCAAAAGAAATGTTCACTCAATGCCATTAATTTCCTTGGACATCTGGGATTTGTTGCAAATATGGAATTTAATTTGGCAAATGCTGAAGTTGCCATAGGAACAGTGATCTTCAAGAAAAAAAGGGGCTAAGAGAGGTGGTCCAAGAACCAAACTGATAGCTAGGTTTTTTGCAGAACTTGAAATTACCTGGGCAGCCACATATTCACAGTGTCCATCAAAATTGTAGTGTTTTCCATCAAAGGTGACATAATGACCACTTCCATATATAATACAAGTCCCATAGCACTCATTCATGGTACATTTCCATTTTCCTTTATAGCAGGTACTAGGGAATGGATAAAATAGTTGGATGAAATCTGAAGAGTCATGTTTTAATGCCACAGGATAAACCACATAGCAGGCTGATACTACGTGAAATACATCCCATGAATAATATGCAGATTTCTGTAACAAGGCATTATATTATAAATCAACATTTTGTCAATAGTCTCCACACAGAATTGGCCCACTGATGAATGTATAGCATGGCTGTTACCACCTTAAAAACTTGTCAGCATTGCCTGATATAAACAGAAATAATTACTTTAATGTTTGTAATATTCCCTAAATTCACACAAAGGGAGTCAGCCCAGATAACAAAGAAGCCAGGAGGACCTGAGAATTAGAGCTTGTATACTCATCTCCTGCTCATGACTGTGGTATTTAAACCATTTCATTACCATTCAGTCACTACAAGTAAGAGACACCAAAAGGAAAAAGGAGAACAATATAGAACCTTACCAATTGTTGCAGCCCACTGTTGTAGTGTATCCTGGAGAATAAAAGTCGCCGTTATGAAAACATGGACATTCATTCTCCCTTACACAGCCCCCTCTGCCATCATCAAACAGTCCATAAGGACATATACACCCTGAAATGCACTCTGTTGGGAGCTAAGAAAAATAAGGTAATAAATGATATTATTTTTTAAGAAAACATTAATTTTCTATAAACATTTATCCCACAAGCTTCTTTCTCTGGTTTATTACTCAGCCATTTTTATTTATTTCTCATCTCTCTAGTATCTGAGTTCCCACAGAATTTTCTTCATATTTTACAGACATTAACTTCAGACTAGCTTACTTTTGTTCTACACAGAAAACTACCAGAGTGTATTGTAAACAAAATGCCTATTCATCTAATTAGCAATCTCTCTACTGAGAAAAGAGAAGGTAAGTCAGTGAAAAGAAGAAGAAAAAATGTCAAAAATAGTGAAAGAGAATTAGAAAAGAACATGATGAGAACAAAAATGATAAAAGAAAAGAAAGGACAAAAATGAGAGGAAAAGAAGAGAGAAAAGACTAAAAGACAATGTTGATCAGGTTTTCACTGCTTCATTTAGACTACACCTACATTATAACATTATTTCGAAATAAGTAACTTTGAAATAATAACTCCCAAAATAACTATTTTGAAATAGCGCATCCACACTGCATGGAAGCCTTGAAATTAGTCTGAGACAAGCTCCGTTAATGTAGACATGCTACTATGCCCCAGGAAACACTCGGAATTAATTACTTTGAATGATTTGGGGGAGTTGTTATTTTGAAATAACAGCAGCTGACCATCCACACTAATGCTATTTCAAAATAGCAATTTCAAAATAGGTGTTATTCCTCGTAAATTCAGGGGTTATTATTTCAAAATAATAACCCTGTTACTTCAAAATAATTTCAAAATAACAAACTTGCTGAGTTGATGCTCACTTTGCTATTTCAAAATAACGGGAATTATTTTGAAATAACTTTGTGTTGTATATTTAGCAAGTGCGGTATGCATACATTACCCTCCTAGTTCGAACTAGGAGGGTAGTGTAGACATACCCCCTGTTACTTCAAAATAATTTCAAAATAACAAGCTTGCTGAGTTGATGCTCACCTTCCTATTTCAAAAATACAGGAGTTATTTTGAAATAACTCTGTAATGTAGACATGCCCTTAGGGATTATGGGAAATGAGGACACATGTCATAGTGAGGTAAAATTAAAACTTACATAACCAGCACCCAGAGAATGGCAGCTTAGCTGAGGAAGGACTGGAGAAGACCTAGAGTTGACATTGCTGCAATCTAAGTGAGTCTTGGGAGACAGACACTCTGTAAAACAAAGATACCGTGTTAGATGGGTAAACTTTGTAGCTCAAGGGATCAGAAAAGAAATGGGAAGTTATTAAGTACTGAGAGAGAAACTGCAGGGTGCACCCCTTAAAAATAAATGAAAATATACTTTCTAACCCAAGGAAAACCCTCTGCTAAAAGCAAAGTGAAAATGGCTGTTTTACAGAAAGGAAAAATGAACAAGTGGAGAATTCAAATGTGGAATTGAGCTGTTTCTCTCTAAAGCATTTCACTTACTTTCCCCTGTTATCTTCACTTGAGTGCAATGGAGAACTGCATTTCGGCAAACACTACAAAGAGTGAGAAGATAGAATGTAAGCCTGACGTGTTCAGTTCATAAACATCTAAGAACAATTTGAAGAGGCATAACTAACAAATTATTCCTTTGGACTGTCAAAAATTCTCTTTTGCCATGCTACATTCTTAGGAGTCAAAGTAATAATAAACCCAGTTGATCTATTAGTGCAATAATACAGTAGACTTCCGATAATCCAGCACCTTTGGGACCCAGGTGGTGCCGGATTATCGGATATGCTGGACTATCGGGAAGTACTCTGGTGGGGGGCTGTGATGGGTTTGCCAGGACCTGCACTGCATCCAGTGGGAGGGGGAGGGAGGGGATTGGCGGGGAATGGCACAGCAAGGG